ACAGGAATTTGGACAACTACTGGCAGTATGAATCATGCGCGATATTCTCACACAGCATCTCTTTTGACCAATGGAAAAGTCTTAGTAGCCGGTGGTCTTAATTCCAATGGAGCTTTGGACAGTGCTGAACTATATGATCCTTCAACGGAAATTTGGACGACGACGGCAAATATGAATTACACACGATGGTATGCTACAGCATCAGTATTAGCAAACGGAAATGTAATGATAACTGGAGGAGCCAATGATCACGTATTAAACACTGTGGAACTATATGATCCTTCAGTGCAGACTTGGACGACTGTTCACAACATGAACGGTGCACGACATTTGCACACAGCGTCCGTGCTAAAAAACGATATGGTGATAGTGATTGGTGGACGAAATTCTGATATAACTTTGAATACTGCTGAGTTTTATTCATTAGTTTAAACCAGTATTATGAATGACCCTTTGAAGAAAGTGGGCGCAAAATTAGCCGTGCATATTAGTGTGTTTTAGTCCTCGAGTTTTTCATTGTATAACTACCACATCAACATCCATAGATTCTTCTTTCTTTTTAGTTATCTACACTTGTCACAATCGCCTCACTATTCTTGTCGCGTGGGCTATGAAAATAAATACTGATATACCGACTTCTTGTTAATACGGACGAATCCGGAGGGAACGTTTCGTTTTTGTTCGCCAGCAGAGTTTGAGAATGAAAGAATGAGAATATTATATAGTGACGAAAAATCCGAAGTTGGTAGTGACAATTCTTCGTAGTTGTATGAGAAGCAAACTGGTAAACATAAATCATCACTGTTGAGTTTTATCTCAGTGTAAGTGTAAGAAGTCTTTCTAATATATTACCTTAATAACTCAAATGAATCACAAATTACCAACAAAAAAATGTCTCACAAATAAAGTTGAAAAGAAAAGAAAAAATAGTTTTGTTCCTTGTAATGCGTTGCCATCACATTTACCTTCATTAATATGATATGCCTTTGATGTATCGCATGACAAATACTGTTTTGAGCAACGTATTTCACAATCAATGTCAGTACAAAAAGTATTATTTTCATAGTAAATAATTCCTATGAGTTTCGGTGTGCATGTTGTATATCGAGGATCATAACAACACTTGCAAAGACATTTTCTCGATTTTGCTGTAAGCTGCTGCGTTTTCAACGCTGCATTTCGTTCACAATCAATTTGCGTTATCCAAAGGAAACAGATCAATAGAATAGCTGTTGAAACCTTCATTTAGATTTTCGTTCGTTGTGTACTTGCAGATAGATTTGGTGCGAACCTTAGTATTTATAGAGGGTAGGAGTTTCGTTTTATCATTATTCTTATCAAAACAATCTTACTGTAGTCTTTGTCATTGACGTCAATCGTGGGCGGTAAAGATTATGTTTATACTGCTTTAGTTCGATCGATCATTGGCGTGTCTATTCCATTTTCGAAATGAAAAAAGAAGATTTCCAACGTAAAATTTGTTTTTTACTGCCGGTCGTAAGTTATATACTTAAAGGTATGGAATTCTTTTTTTTTTCTTAACCATGCACTTAGAAGTACTGCATACATCTATTGAAATGACGTCAAATAGTGAAATAATTACAGCAGCATTTTGTCTGACTCATTGTTGGAAAAATAAGAGTATTTTAGAGAAATTGAATTTTGTTGGTACTTCCCGCAATGTTCATGGCACTATTTATACTCCGATATTCAGATCGGATTTTAATAGACATTTCCAAAAGGTGAATAACATGGCACTAGAAGTACATCAACAAGAACAAATTCAAGTGAGTACGATAGGCGACACAGGAGTCGTGGCGGTGGCACAGCGAAGCACCATCGAAATGGGTATGCCTCGAAATACCTCGAAATTGGCATTTATTCGAAATACGTATCCAGCTCATTACAACCATGTTGTACGTAATATGAATTCGATCAATTATCAGACAAATACAAAGGCGAAGCATTCGATGCGCGGCGGACATTTTCTGCTCTATCGTTATATCATATCTCTTGCCATTATATTATGTTTAGTCTTCGGTGTGATCAGCATTTATGTCAAAGGATGTGCATCAGTTCCGTTCATTCTTACTGTGGTTTACATCGCCATTAGTATTTATAATATCGTTATTTATATAAAAAACCGACCACTTCTCAATCCTCTTTTGGCGATACAAGTACCAAGAGACATTCTACCTGAATTCATGAATGAGTTTTATACTGTGCCTATTAATGCTACTGTTCTCACTGGAGCAATTGCGGCTTTCGTAAATCCAGCTGTGATCGCAGCAGCCGTTAGGAAAGATAATGTTCAACTGTGTGAAATACAAATCATGTTATACGATGATCTTTACCTACGTCATTGTCGATTTCCGTGGGAAATTACCGTTCATTTGCTGATATTCATTGTCTTATTCTTCTTGGCAATTGGCTTTGTCAGTGCTAAAGCGTCGTCTTGAACCACATATAAATACAAATTTTATTACTCGAAGAACTATTCTGAACGCTCTTCACTAAATATCTCAGCTAATTAAGCGTGAATGCGCAAAACAATGCATACCATGTATTTCACAATACGCTGGTGTCGAGCGAGATAGAATGACTCACGTTTACAAGTGTAGATTTTTCAATTTTTTCATTCCATTGTTGTTTGCTTTTGTCGCATTTCTCGTTTTTTTCTTTTCATTCTTTCCTGCTTATATAAATTGCGCGTATTTCGACCGTAAAACAGTCATTTGTTCACTTTGTTTTTCATTATTTAACAACTATCAGGTTTTGGAATACAACAAGAGGAAGACTTTATTCACGTATCGATTATGTATTCTTATCCGTAAGTTATTGTTAAGTTGGCAATCTGCTATCGATTAGTGGGCTCATTCGTGCCAGATATAGATTGAATAGATGAATATTTTATCTTCAATCAGAATCATAGTTGTATAATCATTATATTATTAATAGTGGACTAAACATTAGTTTTGCAAAATTGTTTGAATATATGATGAAGTATTCCTAGATTTTTCAGTATATTGACATATTGTAGAAAAATTTCTGTTATTAATCGAGTGTTTTAAATTGTCCATATTCAATACAGTCTCTAGATATATAAAAACTTATTTACTAGTTTGGCAGCTATCAGCCTTATACGCACATGCATACCACTATGCTACATTCCCCATGGATTTGTACCAATGCACATCGATCTCTTTTTTTGTCTTATTTTAGTAAACAAGGTTTCACCATCTTTTACCGCCGGTTTCAAAACAGCATAGTACCAGTAGAAAGCCGCTTGCACAAATTTGCTTGACACGAATCAAAAGGTTATTTGTACGTCACTAGCATCATAGACACATGTCTGACGATAAAGAACTGATGCCACGTGTAGAAGAAATTCAAACTCTAGCTGAAACCAATGAAGATATGATGAAGCAAATCGATAATATGGGATCAAGAGTAGTTAACCTTACGACCTACGTCATAAGGTGCAGGGGCTGTATATTTACGGTTGAAGAAGTTAAGGAAGCTCAATACGCAAATCAGATTATCAGCAACTGACGTGAAAATATCCAGCTAACTGAAATTGAAGATATATTCAATGACAACATTTCTTATACTTGTTACTCGTACGGGGAACTAAAAGCAGTCAATTCGGCTATGGCTCGAGTCGTTAAAAAATATAAATTGTTTGGAAGTAGTAGAACAGCTCTGGGCGAAATTTACAAATTCGCGAAGAACTTTCGTGTAATAAAAGCAGTATTAGAGAGAATAACTGCATTACTTAACGATGGTGGCGGTGGTCGTTTGGATAAGATACGAGAACGGTTAGACAATCTTAACAATCAAATCAAAGCACTTCGTACTACATATACAAATATTAAATTTTCTTAGAATGGAGTATCCCACTCTAACGAGTGTCGCAAGCGAATATACAATTTTTATTTGAATCAGCCATTTTTATACAAGAAAATCATGAAATAAATAATTTCTCTTCCTTTGGGTTACCTTATCATATGAAATATCGATTGCACGTTTCTTCCTCATTTTGTTTTTACCTACCTCATTACATCCCTGATTTATTATTTTTTCACCAATCTCTGCGTAAGAATCAATCAAACGAATAGTCACGTCTTCGATCACTATTTAAATATCAAACAGCAATTGCTTATTTTCATTTCTAACATGTCTTTCAAGTAGGTTGTTTTCGATAATACTTTCCATTTGGAATGAATCCAATTTTCTTTTATAGTTCATATTACGGTTGGAATTCGTATCAGTATGCTATTGATCAATCTAAACGCCCAAGAGCAGTAACGATAAATGAGCAAAATCCTGAAATCGTCTTGAAAAAGATAGATCAATGGTTGTCTCAACACTATCCTGGTTTTCAACTCAATCACGTCGAAATAGTCAAACCGGATCGTCGAGTATATGCTCGAGCTAATTTTCGTACAGCAGACCGGCAGGAAAAAACCGTTCTCTTCGATGTCACTGCTGCAGCACAGAGTTATATGAATACAATGATGCGAATGTTTTCTCCTGGAACAGTCGTTCGTCTATGGCCAGGGGCAGGCTCAAGAGCAACACGATATGAAGTTCTTATCTAACGTCAGCCAACGATGAACTAGTTTTTCTTCTTCGAATCAAAATAAAATGAATACGCATGAGCGTGTGAAAAATTTTAAATCTCAAAAGATACTGTATATAAAAATTGTTCAGAACAGCTTTACCTGTTGTTTTCATGTTCAAATTCTACATCTGCGATATGGAATCAAAGATCAAAGGGCTTGAGAAAATCGGCTCTTCAATTTCCTCGATTTATTAGCTCGATATAATAACGAGGACTTTCAGTAATATCAAGAGAGAACTGTAATTGGAAAAGCATCTAAACAAGAGGTAATTATTGCTTGTCGGTTTGTCGTGCGTAGTATGTGTCACGAAGATAAACACCGATGAAGAAATAGACAAAGGAATTCCTTCGAGTATATGACCTATTTAAAACGTGTTTAACGCCATTATATAGGTCATAAAAGATAAATTAATCTGTAAACGGTAGACCTTGCATAATTTTTTTCCACGTGCATATTATGTTTATGTTCACTAAATATCATCTCGAGAATGTGGCTGAGATTGCATTTACAAATAGGCGATACCTAGTTTTTCCTTGTCAATTTATTTCATTAATGACTAAAAGGAGAACGAATCAATACAAAATAAGTAAAAATTTTTCTTCGAGTGTCTATTTGTTTCACGAAATCGATAGTATTCTTCTTATCTAATTGTCATGCTATTTATAGGTATTTAAGCATCCGTCGATAGACTATATATTTCCGGTGTGACTTGAGCCCCGTGATCCACATCATTACCACCAATAACAATCACGTTTCCATCGGCTAGCACCGTCGCTGTGTGACTTTGTCGTTTGTAATGCATACTGTTCGTACTTGTCCATTTTTCTGTCGCGGAGTCATAGAGCTCCGCATTATCTGAAGAGGCGCCAGTATCATCTTGTCCACCAGAAACTAAAACTTTTCCATTGTTCAATAAAGATGCAGCATGCCCAAATCGTCCTCGAACCATAGCACCAGTAATTGTCCATGTTTCAGTCGATGGATCAAACAGTTCGGTGGTGTTTAAAACATCATTATTATCATCTATTCCACCAACGGCTAACACTTTACCGTTCGTCAGTAATATGAGAGTGTGAAGATATCGCTTGTATTTCATACTGGCCACAACTTTCCACGTGCCTGTCGATGAATCATATAGTTCTGCGTTGTCTATAGTATTAAGTGGAATGTCATATCCACCGGTTACTAAAACGTTGCCATTTTTCAGCGCAGCTGCCGCATGCCATTTGCGTCCATATTGCAAATTTGTAGTCTGTGTCCAAGATTCCATTTTTGGATCGTATATTTCAGCAGTGTTCGGTTGACTATCGGATCCACCAACAACTAGAACATTTCCATTTCGTAATAAGGTTGCTGTGTGAAAACACCGTTTAACATTCATCTGATTGGTAGGTATCCAGAATCCTGTTGATGCTTCATACAATTCACACTGACTCATGGGGTCTTTGACATTATTCAAAGGTGCTGATGAATCAGCATATCCTCCAGCAATTAAGACTTTGCCATTTTTCAAAGTAGTTGATGTATGAAACCATCGACAATCAGTCATGCCAAGTGTCTTCGTCCAATTTTTAGTTGTTGGATCGTATAGTTCCCCTGTGGAGCAAACATCATCACCTATTCCACCACTGACTAACACCTTTCCATCTGGTGATAAACTTGCAGCTTGATACATTCGTGGGTTACTTAATTGACCGGTCTCAGTCCATTCTAAAGGCAAACGAGGAAAAAACAGCTTGTCGATGCTCACCAACGACCAATCAGTGATCTCACTCGATTGTTTAACTGCTGTCTTTGATCTTAAACCAACAGGAGTTGCATTTGCGAGATTTGTCGATATAACAACGAGTAATGTCGACAACACCAGCAAAAAGAGAGTATCTAAAGATTATTCACAACGCACTATTATGAGAAATATCCAAGTAGGAGTTATTTACTGCGTGTTGGTTTACTGTGCATCTTGTGTTTTACAAAGGTGAACTGAAATGAAGAAAGAAAAGGAACAAGTTCCTTTGCGTTTGACCTATTTGATACTTATTTAACGCGGTTATATGGGCCAAAAAAGGCATCAGTACTCTCTGCAGTAGACCTTCAATATTTAAATATGAAACGTTATCTCTCTATGCAATGTATATAGAAAACCAAAGTAATATCATTCTCGTTCTTTTGTCAAAATATAAAATAAAGATAAAATATAATTCATATTTACTCTCAAATGAATTCAAAATAACTCATATATAGAAGGCCATTGATGGCGAGAATGGGGGTAAGAATGAGAAAAACAAATATCCCTATTAAAATTAAAGTAATGTTACGTAAATGCAACAAGATAATTCACTGATACTTTCTAAATTTATATTTACAATTGAAATAAAAGTTGGAGAAAACAAATTTGTCCATTGTTTATAACCAAACTGGAAGAACGAACATTTGGTTTCTTAGACTTTTAGAAAATAATGATCAAGACAGTGAATAAATTTCTTTTTATTCGATTATGATTCTTAATGAGTGAACAATACATTTGTTCAGAAACACCAAACAGATGATGTATTTCATTATGGTAAGTTTTGTCTCTCTAACATTATCAGTGTCAAGTGCCATTGTTGAAATCCATCGAAATGCATTTTTCGTACCTTCAATTTCTTGTGGTTATATTTGAAATGTCTTCTTGCACCTAAATGCATCGATTCAGTCATGCATTCGGGAATGCGCTGCTGAACACGACTGCCAAACTCATTGCTTTCTATCATAGAGAAATATTTTTAACAACTATTAATTTTGTGATATCAATCTTATCCAACCATGAGAGAACGTAACATCACGTGTTATTTGCGATCGGAAAAATTCATGGTAAAATTCTTTTCATTTAGAACCAACTATCAGATGCTCGTCTACTGTGATAATCACCTAGAATGGTATGTATATCACATTCCATAGTAGAAAAGCAACATTATTCAATGGATTTTAGAAACCACTCTTTCAACAACAATTGATTTGGATAAAACAAATAAGGTTAATGTCAAGTTTATCTTTATCCTCTATTAGTAATGAATAAGAATTTAGTGAGAAATGGCGATGGGAAAGTCGGTTCTTGCACGAGAGGAACAGATAGTGGCTATCTCGCGGAATGGGATCAGAGCGGGTCAATGACTCAAATAATCTACAATGCCAATTACACTTATGATCTGCTCAGCATAGGTTCTAGTTCAAGATAACATTTTAATTCAGCAAATGTCCTCTTAACGTCCTTTTCGTATTTCAGCGATCGTGACAAGTGCTACTTCTTTGGATACGAATCAAACTTTACCTTCATGTGGCAATTTATCAGCATAAATTATCTGGTCGATAGTTACAAAAATCAAGATGACAATGCTATCGAACCACTAACATTTTTAGATCATGCCAGCAATACACTGGCAAGTCAAATCAGGCTTGCACTAGTACTAGCTAACGATCGAGCAAACAAAACAATGCTACTGTTCTAGACTGATGCTCAACAACACTCATTTTCTGCATATCCACGTTGAGATGAAATTTTGCGATGATATTTGAAACAGCATTTATGTAGATAATACAACCGTAATTGCAATCCAATGTTTTATTCAAGGTTTTTTGGTGACTTCAATCTTACGTAATGTCTGTATCTCGCCATTGTATGGGTGTATTATCGCTATTCTGTGAGTAAATGAATTTTTCAAAGATATAAAAACAAGGAACTCAGTGCGAGCTACGTTTGAGCTCAAGAAAAATGTCATAATCCGTCTTGAGAGAAATATAAGACAAGATATTCTGACTGGTAAACGTACTCTTTTACTCCAATTCTCATCTTAAATAACATCCTATTCACTTTTATCGACGAAGCATAACAATGTCTGTTTAATAAACGTTTTATCTATACGCATCACACCAAATGTTTAATTCACACGAGCACGAATGAAACTACTGCTAACCGATTTCATTCCTATCTGCAAGAGCGAAGGCCATTATAACGTTAATAGACAGATGAAAAGAGAAATTCAGCTAAAAGAAAAAAAGCAAGTAAACACCATTGCTATAATTTCATCAAAAGCTAATCAAATATTATATTATTTCCGACATGAAAGATCTGGATGGGATAACGTGTCAATTCCCAATAGACATTGCCATACTCACAACGAGTTTTATGATTAATACGAATCTAAAAGTACTTTCTCTTTGCTAAACCTTTTGTGCCTTTTCAATATGTGCAATTCTACTATTGCAGTCCTCGGTTCTGTTACTCAACAAACGATTATTTACTTGGGTTTCTCCCTTTTTATTCTTGGTCTTATTGGCAATCTATTGACTCTCATTGTATTCCTCAGTCTCAAAACATTCAGACAAAACTCATGTGCATTCTACCTTACAATCATGTCTTTTATCAACACGTTTCACTTATTCACTGGTTTGTTAACTTTCATCATGATCAATGGTTTTAAAATCAACTGGGCCAATGCATCAGTGACCTATTGCAAATTTCGTGCATTCTATGTTCAGACATGTATAATGATATCTTTATCATGCATGTGCTTGGCGACAGTCGATCAGTTCTTGGCAACGCAGTCTAATGCTCTCTGGCATCGACTCAACAACATTAAAGTAGCTCGGTCGGTTGTCACAGGCATAGCTGTATGTGTAATCACATATTGTATTCCTTTACTCGTATATTATGGTCATACAACATCAAGCAGCACAGGTCAAGCAATTTGTGACATTACAAATAATGTCTTTGCAAGTTATCGTATTTTTAGTACTCCTTTCCTCATAGGTTTTATTCCATTGCTCATTATGAGTATATTTGGCCTGTTAGCATACTGGAACGTTCAGCGAATAGCCTATCGGACAATACCGTTAGTTCGACGTGAGTTAGACAAACAGTTAACATCAATGGTCCTTATTCAAATTTTCTACAATGTTCTTGCTATCACACCGGTATTAATCGTAGGCCTTTATTATTTTATCTTAGACAAAACACTCGATACATGCAGTAAAACAATATTAAATATTCTCTTAAATCTGTTAACCGTTATTTATTATTTTTACTATGTGGTGAGTACGAGCCGAAGGTTATCGAAAATCAAAATATAATTTCATATATTTCAGGGTTCATTCTATATCTACATATGTGTATCGAAAAGATTCCGTCAACAACTGATCTATGTTTTATTTACAGTGCACGCGAATCGTTTGTGTCAAAACAATAATCGAATCGAACCCGTAGTATAGAGACTCCACCTGATCTCAACAACCGTGTACCCATGTAATTCTCTTTCAGTATAAACGTAAATGGGTGGTTTCACTCTATATTTTATTAACAGTGAGCTCCTCCCAAAGAAATACTTTGTGTTTGGGAAATTTCGTCTTCATTTCGTGAATAAATGGATATTTCATCTGAGTTTCTGTCTTTATGTTCAACGGCGTCGAAGTTTCAGTTATAAGAGTGATAGTGTGAATGAATCGGGGATGAATGCATTCAATTATCATCATAGCCGTGTTTCTATGTTTACGAAAGAGAGTTTTGTGACGGGAGGACTGAATCGCTCTTTTATGAATTCAAGTCAAAAGTTTCTCACGGCTGCAAATATCGAATAACGAACGAATGAGAGGACTGATTCCGGTTATAAACAATGAAGGAACATGGTTTCACTAGCGTTTTGTAATAAATACTCGGTGAAGTCGTCGTTTTCACGATAATTAGTAATTAGTACTAGCATGCAGATGAGTAAATCGCAAGTTTATTGTACCATTGTATTTTTGTTTATAAAAATTGAATATGTCCAATTTAACTGAGCCGATTCTTATGATATCTTTATCATTTGTTCTACATATTACTCACCAACACTATACAAAAAATCACAAAGCTATCATGAATCTATCCTGAGATATTCAGTACACAAAGTTAAATATGCTGATTGTTACCGCCATTTCTTGGTGAAAGGGCTGTATGGCTAGTTAGGTATTAGTCATTTGAAGTTTGACGGTTGTTGATAGTTCTCGTTGTAGCGTGGCTAACCTTTGAATATAATAATTATTCGTCTGTTTCACGCGTATTTTCCCGTAATTTTTGAAATTTTATGATTACAGACACTTTTCACTTTTTGTGTCACGCGAGATTAAATTTCGTATTACAGCCCAATGATTCCTCTAAGATAGGCGTGGGTAATTTCAAATAAAAGACAACCGGTCATGTGTCAAACTAGTAAAGATAATGAGGGAATGGTCCTACTGCTCCTTGAGAACAAATGGAAAGTCTATTTTTAAAACCTCATTGTCGGACAAAATGTCACGCGAGATTGCTATGCGTGTAAACATCTCATGCACAAGATTGAAATAAATAATTTTAACATCAAACAAAGCCGCATGAAATGACTAGGGTTTGAATTGGACAAATACGAAGAGTAGCAAGAAATTGTTATAGTCAAATGGATGCTTTGAAATTTCCCGTGTATTGTCAACTTAGGAGTATATCTACGCAAAAATCACATATAATGCGATATGAACCATATTCTCAGACTCATTTTTTCTAGATAAATTATGGTTGCATCTAAAACACAGATTAGTTATTTATTTTACCATAAACATATGGGAAAAACTTGAGTCGAACAGTCCCTATACTTCCTGAAAAACTCTTGTATCTCGGGTGTTTAACAGTAACTGTCAGGAAACTTTGTGCGTATATTCTCTTCTTACATAATACGGAATATTCGCTGCATTGAAATTCGAAAACGTTTTTTTCATCAATTTTTTAGTCAAACGGTACATACAATAAACTTGCAATTTGCTCATGTACTATAAGACGAGCATGTGTTCAAAGATCGAATGGTACAAAGAGTTTCTATCTGGTATAAAACATTAAGATTTTAGCGGCCGAAAAGAACGTTGATGATCAACACCAGGATGAAAATCTAACTTGAGTTTCTGTATCAGAAATATTTGTATGGCAAAGCGTGTAGTTTGAGACATTTGACGAATTTTGTTTTATTCAATTCATTACAGATAGAAAAGCTTTAGTGAGATGCATTACACAAACCTGATTCAATTTGCATCTGCATTTATCTTTTCGATATGGTGCGAAAAAAAAAGAGAACACACTGTTTCTTAAAATGAATTCAGCTCAAATAAAGTGCGTTTCCTCTCTCATTTATAATACGATCATTATGGAAATCACAAGACACGAGGATTATTTTGCTCATGACTTCATGTAATCGTCTTACAGTTCAGTATATAATACAGCTGCTATAAAGCATTTATCATCAACGATCACGAATGCTACATATGGCAACTATTCAAAACAGTCCTAGTTATTCTGACACATCGTCCTCAATGGCAGTCGTAAATACTCCTTTCCTTCTATTCTCATACCGTTATGGATTGGGTCTAATAATTCTTTTGGGTTTCTTTGGCAATCTAGCTAGCATCATGTCATTTTCACTAGCAGCAGTACGTGTTACCTCAACTGGTTGTTTGTTCTTAGTTTTGGCAGCAGTAGATACTGTGTTTCTATTGGCATCGACCTTCGACTTTGTGGAAGTTGGATTGGTTCAAGGGCCCATATTTCTCAATGTTTATGATGTTGTATGCCGATTTCGTTCGTTTCTCAAAGGCTTTGCTTCATTCTGTGCCGCATGGATCTTGGTGCTCGTCACCATAGACCGTTGGATATGGATACGGTACTCATCTAAGGCGAATAAATGGTGTACCCATCGACATATAGTTATAGGCATTTTGTCTACTGTAATCATCACTACTGCTCTGCATAGTCATATGCTAAGTCCTCAATTGTTTGGTAGACTCATGCCTGGTATTGCAACATCTGCATGTGGGTCCGTAAACCCTATTGGTTCATACGCGAATTTTTACTCTTCTCAATGGCCATTTATTCAAGTGAGACAAGAAAGCAAAAAATTTGAAAGTGATAATTCTTTTCGCTACATTTTAGGTAATCTTTGGCTGTCTAATACCTATTTCTATTATGCTTTTGGGTAGTTTTGATATTTATCAAAACTTGCAGAAGAGGAAATCGCGTGTCCAACCAAAGTTTGTACGTCAGGAACGTTTGAATCGACAAATGTTAGTCTTGATGGCAGTAAATATTCTAATCTTCTTTGCTACCACACTACCAGTGAATGTTCGCCGAATTCTTACTGTATATCAGATGTCGTTTGCAAGTGAAAGTAATCTACAGAGCATTGTGAATGAAACGGGTGGTCTTACGGTGTTATTAACAATGAATCATGCAGTAAGTTCAGCTGAAAGGATATCTAGGATAAGTTGATCTGATTGCCAACAACTTTATACATGATATGAGTTGGATTCAGAAAACAGAATTTTGCTCTTTTGTATTTTATTAAATAGGTCAACTTCTATATTCATTATCTGACGTCAAAATCATTTCGTAATGAGTTTCTACACTGTCTCAGAGCACTTCTTCGACTTCCTCAACACTTAGCGAACAACGACGTGATCGAAATCCAAATTACTCAAGTGAGATCAAAACTCTGTACCATTTCCCTCACAGGAATGCGTCGTAATCAACTTCAGACATGAATTGGACATTAGTAGAGAAAGCTTTTTCTCATAAATGTTGTGTATTGTACGAAATAAAAAAAAACTATCGCAAAGGAGCCAGCACACTTGAGCGCATAGTTTGGTTGGAAATAGTGTTCTGTCAGAGAGATGAAATCATAAGTTCAACTAAGAAAAACGGCGAATTTTCAATCGAATAAAAGCGTGTTAAAGTCTTTTTCTTAATATTAAAAAATGAGAGTTAAGAAAATGCTTAAATGTATGAAAAAACTACGATGCACAATGGCACTCGAAACTTGAGCAAGATGCTTTTTGTCTGCATATTCTTACATTGTTTGATGGAGATCGTTGGCGTCTACAAAACTGCAGATAATAAAAATTCAAATTATACTTGTAAAATCTTGAACGCAAGTCCAAAGAGCATGGTTTTTATATCAAAAAAAGTAATTGTTTTTCTAAAAAAAAAAGTTTTCTTGTTTTTAATTATTTTTATCTCTGCTGATGTTTCCGAATCAGCGTGATTGGATCAGCATGTTAAAAGTTCATCCGATTAGAATGTTCATAAATATATATTGTAAAAATATCAATTAAGAGTATTTTAGTCCAGTCGGAATCGAAGTTTTCTGTAGAAAGACTATAGCAGAACGCAAAAATAACGAGTTCATTTCGAGCAGATCGATTCATTCTAGTTCCAAATGTAACTTGATAGATTTTATAAATCGTAGTGAGTCTATTTTCATGTACTCAATATTTCATTGTTGACGTCAAACATTTCATCTTCAAATTCTTCGTAAGTAGTTTTTAAGCGTTCCAAAGCTTCAATTTCCTCGTGAGTCTTTGCTGAATCGTTCTCATTTTGATTTAAGATCATGTCATATAAATATTTCGATGTTGTTATTTCATTCGCCAACATCAAAACTTGTTTATCAGTGAAAGCAATCTCGGAGTGATCATCGAAAATAGAAGGCCGATGATAATTAATTCCACAGCCGAGTCCCAATTGATCACGCTCAAGAAACCGAATCGATTTCTTCAAATCACAAATCAGATTTTGTCCAATTTCTTTTGGAATTATATTTTCGCCGTGAAAAAGTAAACAAAGACTTAAGACAAAATGACGTGAAGTCAAAGCTTGATCAATAAAGCGAGTGCTTGATTGAATCAATGTTGGTATACACATATCATATACTGATGGAGATTTGAAATCATCGCTTTGACCACATGCATATGGAATCAATGGAGATAAATAAGATGTGATTAGTTTCGATAGAGAGCGACCGACTAACCTTGTTTGGAATTCATTTAAACAATCCAATAAACAACTATCAAATCTCATTGAGCATGTCACATTACTCCAGCATGTTGCAATCAGTCTACTTACATTTGAATAAGTAGGCATATCGATTTGTAGCTGGTGTTGACAAATGTTAAAAGCCGCTTTGTATTCCATAGGTATGATCACGTCTGCATAATTCAATAGATTCGCCATGTGACGAGTATCGATGTGCGATGCGATTATGGAATTTGTCACAATGGTTTTAGCTGCGTATTCAGATTTGAGATTTGCTAGAAGTTCGGACGATAGAGTTGAACATTCGCCATTTGTTGAATGAGAAATCATAAATCCTTGAAACTGATCGTACGATTCGATTTCACGTCGAATTTCGTCCATTATTAACTCAGAAGACTTTTCCGATACGATAAATTGATTGTCATGGTACAAATTTCTCATTTTGGTTGCTTTGATTTTATCAGTGGTAGTTCCATTATGATCGATGAAAAATGTATGAGGACGATAATTCCTTCCACCATCATCATACCGTTCAGAGAAGAAGCATCGAGGGCGAATATATGGATCTATTTCACCTTGTGAACATCCATCGAAAGACAAATGATGATCCAAACAATACAATTCCCAACAGTAATTACCGATTTCGATACTTTCTGCCCCAATCTGTAGCTGAAGAACTTCACGTATGTCATTTGCCATCGAACAGAACTCTCAATAGACTATTGATGTCAAAACAGAAAGAAAATAAACGCACGTGTGGATACAGAATAAGAAAAAGAATGTCTCGAAGTAGATAAATATTGGAGGCAGAAAGATGTCGTCATGGCTTCTATGAGTCATGACACGATGATCCAGTATGGAATTATTTTATATTCGCTAGGTAATTCTTTATAAAATTGTTGACTATGATAAAAATTTTGAACATGATACCGTGTATAACAAACGCTTCGCTATTCTGCGTCTTTTAGAGGACAAAGAAGAGAACCTGTGTTACATTTCATCATCAAATCATAACAGTACACGTATGCATGTCATCCGTTCGTTACTGGGAAAAAACCCAAGACGCTCAAGAAAACTGTAGGACAATAGACGAAGTCGATATACAAATTTGTTTATTTTTCTAAATAGTGAAACAGTATAGCATTACAATAATAGCATTATCTGAATTGAGAACTGACAAATGCTTTAAATATATTAACATTAGAATTGGTTAGTTTTGCTAAATTCCCTCTGACTATCAGTAATGATTGTCTTTTATGTTTTATGCTTAATTCGAATATCCATTTAATGGTTTATTGATAGAGTAAGTAAGACATGCCACATACCATACAATAAAGTATATTGAATATTTTTATCCATCTGTGTATATTTGATCTTTGTCTTTTGAGGCAATATATGTGTCGATGTGTTTCGTTAAATTATTTTTCATATCCTCTTAGCTACTTCTTCTTGAGCGTAACATACCATGTATATGATCAACTCTATTATCAATAGCTTAGCATATTCAAACTACATGAGTATGGTATACGCATTTGCTGCTTTTCTTACATGGGAATGTCTTGTTAGATGTAATCAAGGCGCCACATATCTTGAGACAAAATATGTTAACCGCTTTGTTTAATTGTAGTAAATATTTTTATTGAAAATTTTGCGAGAGAATATCTCAGAAAATACAACGAGATGTGCACCGAGATAACAAATGACAGCACATATCTATTAAAAATTAAAAGATTGAAAGTATTTTCTTGCTTCGCTTTTGAACCATATTGAATACGCAAGATAATTTCAAATTACGTTAATTTCTACATTTCAGATTATTTTTTGTTAAATACTCTTATTGTTTGCAATGAGTGCAACAGCTGTTGTAGGTATTGTTGCTGCAATATGTACTGCACTGTCTTCCATCCTGGGTGCGTGGATTCCTGCAACATATGCTGTGTACAAAACCAATACCAACCTATTGTATATACTCTTCTACTTTGTACTTATATTAATAGCTCAATTGGCCGTGATCATTCTTTTGTGCTGGATAATGTCACAAGCATACTGTCGATTAGTCGAAATAGGTTCGTCTGAGCCCTATTCTTCCTCGAAAGTTGTTCTGTCAATCGTCGCAATGGTGTTACTACTGATATCTTTTAAACCAATAATCGCTTTTTCTACTAATTTGCCATATAGCACAATGGCTGCCGTACTTTATCTTAGTGGTAATCAGCAAGCGGTAAATATATTTTACAATGCAGTTGATGCTCAACAAGAGTACGCAATTGAGTACTTCTTTACTTTAAACACAGCGCTCTCACCCTCAGGCTATGATCGGTATGTGTATACTGTGTCTCAAGTAAAGAAGAGGCCGCAATTGCATAACCGGAGATATTATGGTTAATAAAATATTACTATATATTTTTCAAGAAAGTCGAATTTCAACGTTGTTCAATTGTGTAATTGTTTTTTTGATCAAGCATTTGATTAGTCTGATTTATTCAATATATTTACTCCTGATTCATATTTACTTTCTCACGTTTCTAAGGAACGACGAAGGAAAAATTTTTGAAACTTTCTGTGCAGATAGGTCTCAAACAGTACAGCAAAGTTCTGGCAGAGACAAACTTCCGGAGAGCACAAAGTCAAAAACTAGCAAAGAAGTCATATCGCTCGCGAATTCTCAAGCTTCATATGTTTGAGCTGATATTTTTCTGTCAGTAGCAGAGTTCAATCCTGACTGGTTTCTTTTTGTGAAAAGCTCCAAACCCTTTAGGTAGGAGAACTAAAATAACGAAAGTCTGGATTTATAGGATTTCAAAATTTTTTGTGCGGTTCGTTGTTTTCGATTGGTACGAGCTATCGAGAAAGTTTCACATGACGAATGCAAATCTGAACTCGAAGTCGCGATGATGAGTCAATAAATACTCTGTAATAGTCGCTAATAGACTCGCCCTCTAGATGGTAAATTGATACTAAGTGTAATTTTTTATTTATTAGTTGGTCATTAATGAATATTATGCTACTTCTTATATGTTCTTTTGGAAAATGTCATACGAGCGAAAAAATGAATTGTTCACAAAATGAAAAAGCCTTTTTCAACAGAAAAGAGAGGAATCTCTTAGATTTTTTCGCCATGATATGCGCATTCGTCATATGCAAAAGATAACTTTAACAAAAATCCTCTTCATTCTTAATAATTCCTAACAATTAATGAGATAATCTATCTGAGTAAAATAATTACTTTTGAGAGAGTAAACAGTAGTATGCAAGAGTCTCACACATATCGGCGCCCATGCCCGTCAAAGATCAAACCCTTTTTGATGATGATTTTTGTGTGTCATGATTATAAGTCCTATTTGTGCTGAATCTCCGCACTTCTTTTCAAGAATGTCAGTTGCTCAGATGTTCGTGACAGTATAGTAGCGTTTACGACGGCAGAAAGGAATGAATTATACATCTTAAATCTTCTGGGTAAAGCTACTTTTGAAAATTATACAAATTCATAAAAACATAGAATATCGAATGTAGTTGAGGTACAGTACGTTACCATTTTGTTTCGAAATAACAGCACATGACCGACATAAATAAATAACGATCGCGTTTACTTGACGCAGTCTTCGACAACTTTGACATAGATAGAGATTAGAGTGTCGTATCTGTTTCGTTGTCTAACTTAGATTATATAAAGTCAAAGGTGTTTTTTTATCGTTGTTACATTCAAACAGGGAAAAAATGACTGTTATGGTAAGCAAAAAGGTCAACTCGAATGAGCAACAACGCTTACTGTATTTGAAATGAAGACGTGGAAATTGTAGAGCGAAATGTTTGACTGGCTGACAGGTTTAGACTAAAATACTTATTCTGGTAATGATTGGCTCCTTTTACCTGTTTGTATATCCAAAAATAAAACAGATGGTCATATCATTCCCGTCTGCAATCATAGTAATTCTGACTTGAACGAAAACATGACCAGTCCATAATAAACTGGATTATTTCTAACCGCCGAATTATAACATCTAGGCAAATTCAGTTTTGGCATACAAGGTACTGAAGTTGCTACATGGGTTATGAGTCGATGGTACCTATTGGTATTATCGTACAATCTCAGAATGAGATGTTAATTACCCCAGAATTTCAAATAAAAATCCCCATTCCAACCGCTGCTTATACTAGTCCAGCATCTTTTAGATAAATCAGTCTTTAACCACTTGATCATTTCAGGAGTTGATAGATTCGATGATTTACTAGTAGAACCGTTACACGCGTATAGCCTTCTCCATAGAGAGCTCATTCTCTGGCGAAATGACACGTGTCTAACGTGAGGAAGTTCGTCATCACTGATATAAAGTGTCAATGCTCGAAGGTTTGGCATTGCTTGTAGAACATTGATTGCACTGGCGTATGATTTGACGTGAATCTCTAGAACTTCGCATTGATGTGCCAGAGAGGATTGAGCAAATGCTATGCAGTCCGTGTCGTCAAAGAAGAAAACATCAGGAGTAAGACGAGGAATAAATATCAGTCGACGGAGAGATGCGCACCTCAGTTTGGATACGAAGCGCAGTGTTGAAGCATCTCGATCTTCGATTGTCAGCGAGTAGAGATGTGGTGTTTGATCTAAGATAGTTTGTAGATCGGGCGCTCGATGTTCGTCATACAAAAACAGTTTTAACGCAATCAAACTATTGAACGAGAGCACAGTAGATGTGAACTGCTTTGGTAAAGGAACAGTGGTCTTGACTTCACGTACGTTGGAAAAATACGTAGGATGTAGATGCAGTGATGTACCAACGAAAAGGCTATGCACGTGTTTGAATGACAAAGATATTTCATTGCTAGGACCAGTCCATTGTGATTTTTGGCATGTTGTCTCCGTAAACGAATCAAACGCAAACGGTAACGTATAGAGATATCCGTATCGGCTGCCAATTATGTCTGAGTTCCAATCACATCGAACATACCATTGATGTTGTTCTAACCAGAACGGTATTCGGAATGTGTCCAGTAAGTCAGCGATTTCCTTGTCAATTTTATCAGCAGATAATGTGTAAACAAGCATTTTGAATTGTAATACGGTAAGTTTAGGTATATATTCAACAATAATTTCCTGCCATTCATGTCCGTTCAAATGGCTGCTCAAACTGTCGACTGTTAAATGCCGTAAATTGGGGACATTGTGGAGAAAGTCTTGTAATACATTTGTTGTGTTACAGAGTTGTAGTTCTAATGTGCTAAGTGTCGTGAGAACGATGGGAAGTTTCTCACTCTCATCGTATAATTCAATACATACAGATAGATGTTGAAGACAAGGTGAACATTGATAGATTTTCACTAGAGTACTGAATGAACATCCCAATCCTGTTCGAATAGATAAACTTTGGAGACTATTGGAGATAATGGCTAAGCGACAGAAATCGATATGTTCTAAATAGCAGTTAGTCAGCTTGAAATGCGTTAGTTTCGGTAGATTCCATATTTGATTAATGGAGTGAGGCGAATCGCTTGATGTCATAAACATATTACATTCGTCGATAATAAGATGTGTCAATTGATTACCTTTGCCTAAGAATTCGATGATGTCACCATAGTCAAAGCGATTGAATGACACAGCTTGCAAACGAGCGAACTGATCCAAACGAAAGCCGTAAGTAAGAAATTGTTTGAATAAACCGGGAGTTTCATTGTGGCCTGTCAAACGAAGTGAAACGATTCCATTGGTAATTAAGCGAAGATGTTGTTCACACAAGTAAACAAAATCTCGTTTGTAGATATGTGTGAAATCAAGATGATACGATCGAAAATGTTGATAAAGTAAAGTAGTGAAGCGTACGTTCAGTCGTGTGAAGGCACGAAGTAAATGAACAGTATCGAAATATTCAAAAAGTTCAAGCAATAACTCGTTAGCAAACGATTCAAAAAGCGTCATTCTTGTTATTTATTTCTGAACCTTCTCGAAGCTATGTTCTGTTGTGTATATTTTTCTTTTTTTTCCTTCCATAAAATTTGCACGTTCAGTAGATGGCACTATAAGCAACAACCTTAAGCATCCTGTCAACGAAAGATTTTCATTAACTGAAAGTTTGGCAAGTATTTGATATCTTCGCTTCAACTTCACTATTAGTTAGGAAATGGTGTATAACGATCGCATTTGCGTTGAAAATGTTGAGCTCCGTTAATGGATTGCAAACATGAAAAACAGAATTGTTTCATGCAACCCGTGCATACTATCCAATTGTCTTCACCAATTTTAACATTGAATTTCTTACATGAAGTATTCGGACATGGCTTCACTCGTTGAACGATGGCAGCACCGATAAGCGATTTATTGTTAATGACAAATTTCGTTTCTTCCTTGCGCTCACCCTCTTGTGGTTGATTTTCATCAACTCTCTGACTATGTTGTACAGACTGTTGTACTAAACAGCAAAGAGAGAACCTTGGTCGTATTTCGATTGAGAAAGGTTTCTTACTCAAGTCTTCTTTGATCGATCCGACTGATGAAGCGGAAGGAAATTGATATAACAACGATGCTATTTGAGGATCGCGAGCGCCTTCTCCATTCTCCCATGTAAAATCACGATAGCAGTTCGCACAGCGCATGTGTGTACAACCACCATTTTTCTCAATCCTCACATGGCAATGCGGGCATAGTTGAGTATTAAGAGCTTCTACTCGTTCAGCATTTAATATCGTTTCTAATAACTGGTCTTCTTCTGCTAAATTAACAACAATTTCTCGATATGGTTGTTTAGCAACCCGTTGCTTTGCTTCGGTGATTTTCTTCTTGTCCATTATAGCCTTTTGTGCGAGAGCTCTTTCTTCCAATGTAGCAGCTACTGCTAAATCTCCTTCTTGTATTTTTCGAATTCGTTCACGTTTTTCTTCTGCTTCTCTCTGCAGCCGTTCCATTTCTTTTTGCTTTTTCAATAGCATTTGCTCCATAATGTAATCTTTTGGACACATGGTTTGAAAATGAAACAATTCTTTGCATTTCTTACAGAACGTAAAATGACATTGATGACACACACAGAGTGTATCATCTTTACCACCAGTAAGAACAGCAGACTGACATCTGAATCAAAAGGTGTTAACAATAGACAGTTACTGTTTATAAGACAAAAGAACTAACCTTGGGCACCAAATAACATCTTCCATAGCTTGTAGAGCACGTTGTAATGTTATTCTTTCGTATCGTTCGTATAAACGTTCATCTTGAAGAATTGCTTTGATTTCATTGGGCAGTAATGCCTTCTGGCATTGACTTTGTGGACAATGTACCTGATCGCCAAAGTGACCATTGTTAAATGTCAATTGAACATAATTATTTAAGCACGGCTGACAATAGAAATGTCCACAGCGATAGAGACGGATGCAATCCGTACCGGATATCATATCTGTACATATTAAACATGTCTGAAGTTGATTTCGAAATTGTTGCTCCTCTTTTTCTGCGTTATAGTTAATTAAATATTGATAAATGTGAGCGATATTGTCAGCGAGATAACCATTTAACGCTCGGGGATCATTGATTTGTTCACCGAAGCCTTTATCAAGTACTAACTCATTGGCAATCTCTCGCCTAATCAATTCAATCCAATCAAAAACACAAACTTCACCTTTAACAAACGCATAGTTATCAAGCTTTTGACAAAGGTTCTGTAAAGATGATTTTGAAAAATAAAAACATGAAAGAACAAACGACGGAGGATAATCACTGGGATATTCATCATGGTAATGTATAATCAAAGTAAATGGAGGTAAACGACGAACGATCGCTGTTTTGTCATTACATCGAATATAAAATGGTTCATTTAAATCAAAATCAATGGAAATTTCATATTGATCATTGCCATTAAGAAGACGAAATCTTCCATCAAATATAGATTGTAATACTAAAATTTCATCCGTTTGTTTTTCCAGATTTGCCATCTATGATGTAAACTATTGAGACACTTTTATATATAAGCACGTGCTTTCTTTCTCTTTTGAAATTACACCATTGCATCACCGTGCTTTTACTTTGTCAATAAGGAAAGAAAAACCAACAGTCAGCTATTGGTACCAGAATGCAATGTTAGTGACAATGTGAACACTTTCTCTGAATCTTCAAGAATGATCTGCGTTGTTAAGAACTTCGTTCATGGCTATGACTCATCATATTATTTTGATCGAAGAATGACGGGTGGTGTAGTTGTACATCTGTCTATAGCCACGTGTGTGTGACAATAAACTATGAGAAGGAGAAGAGAAGAGAACAGAAAGCAAGAAAAGAAAAGAATATATCGTGTCGTCTACCCATTGACTCTGCCAAGCGAGTATGTTTTTTTTTCTATCATCTGTTTCACTTTCGCCTCACATACTATTCGAATTAGCGGTTTTATCATGACTTTCTATGGTACTAATATCACAAAATTCGCGACGCAAACTCTGCAGGGTATGTTCTACATAGATGATTAGATGTAGAATTAACTTTCTTTCGAATAGGTTGGCGAAGTTTGATCAAACCTTACGTTATTACAACGATCGCTATTGGTTCGAGTGTCACTACCGGTGATCTCATCTGTCAATATTTAGAAAGTCATAAGAAAGGTCCAGATGGTAAACGTCTCGTACCACCGTCGTCTTCTACATTTTCATGGTGGAATCGTGAACGATCCCAAGTTATGGGCACAACAGCTGTTCTCGTATCAACACCTTGGTCGTTCACACTTGCAAGAATAGTTGAAAGATTATTTCCAGGTCAGTTCCANTATTGGTATTATCGTACAATCTCAGAATGAGATGTTAATTACCCCAGAATTTCAAATAAAAATCCCCATTCCAACCGCTGCTTATACTAGTCCAGCATCTTTTAGATAAATCAGTCTTTAGCCACTTGATCATTTCAGGCGTTGATAGATCCGATGATTTACTAGTAGAACCGTCACACGCGTATAGCTTTCTCCACAGAGAGCTCATTCTCTGGCTAAATGACACGTGTCTAACGTGAGGAAATTCGTCATCACTGATATAAAGTGTCAATGCTCGAAGGTTTGGCATTGCTTGTACAACATTGACTGCACTGGCGTATGATTTGACGTAAATCTCGAGAACTTCGCATTGATGTGCCAGAGAGGATTGAGCAAATGCTATGCAGTCCATGTCGTCAAAGAAGAAAACATCAGGAGTAAGACGGGGAATAAATATCAGTCGACGGAGAGATGCGCACCTCAGTTTGGATACGAAGCGTAGTGCTGAAGCATCTCGATCCTCGATTGTCAGCGCGTAGAGATGGGGCGTTTGATTTAAGATCGTTTGTAGATCGGGCGCTCGATGTTCGTCATACAAAAACAGTTTTAACGCAATCAAACTATTGAACGAGAGCACGGTAGATGTGAACTGATTTGGTAAAGGAATAGTGGTCTTGATCTCACGTACGTTGGAAAAATAAGCAGAATGTAAATGTAGTGATGTACCAACAAAAAGGTTATGCACGTATTTATATGACAAGGATATTTCATTGCTAGGGCCAGTCCATTGTGATGTTTGGCATGTCGTCTCCGTAAATGAATCAAACGCAAATGGTAACGTGTAGAGATATCCGTACCGGCTGCCGATTATGTCTGAGTTCCAATCACATCGAACATACCATTGATGTTGTTCTAACCAGAACGGTATTCGGAATGTGTCCAGTAAGTCAGCGATTTCCTTGTCAATTTTATCAGTAGATAATGTATAAACAAGCATTTTGAATTGTAGTACGGTAAGTTTAGGCATATATTCAACAATAATTTCCTGCCATTCATGTCCGTTCAAATGGCTGCTCAAGCTGTCGACTGTTAAATGCCGTAAATTGGGAACATTGTGGAGAAAGTCTTGTAATACACTTGATGTGTTACATAATTGTAGTTCTAATGTGCTAAGTGTCGTGAGAACGATGGGAAGTTTCTCACTCTCATTGTCTAATTCAATACATATAGATAGATGTTGAAGACAAGGTGAACATTGACAGATTTTCATTAGAGTACTGAATGAACATCCCAATCCTGCTCGAATAGATAAACATTGAAGACTATTAGAGATAATGGCTAAGCGACAGAAATCGATATTTTGTAAATAGCAGTTAGTCAGCTTGAAATGCGTTAGTTTTGGTAGATTCCATATTTGATTAATGGAGTGAGGCGAATCGTTTGATGTCATAAACATATTACATTCATCGATAATAAGATGTGTCAATTGATGACCTTTGCCTAAGAATTCGATAATGTCGCCATAGTCAAAGCGATTGAATGACATCGCTTGCAAATGAGCGAACTGATCCAAACGATAGCCATAAGTAAGAAATTGTTTGAATAAACCGGGAGTTTCATTGTGGCCTGTCAAACGAAATGAAACGATTCCATTGGTAATTAAGCGAAGATGTTGTTCACACAAGTAAACAAAATCTCGTTTGTAGATATGTGTGAAATCAAGATGATACGATCGGAAATGTTGATAAAGTAAAGTATTGAAGCGTACGTTCAGACATGTGAACGCACGAAGTAGATGAACAGTATCGAAATATTCAAAAAGTTCAAGCAATAATTCGTTAGCAAACGATTCAAAAAGCGTCATTCTTGTTATTTATTTCTGAACCTTCTCGAAGCTATGTTCTGTTGTGTATATTTTTCTTTTTTTTCCTTCCATAAAACTTGCACGTTCAGTAGATGGCACTAAGCAACAACCTTAAGCATCCTGTCAAAGAAAGATTTTCATTAACTGAAAGTTTGGCAAGTATTTGATATCTTCGCTTCAACTTCACTATTAGTTAGGAAGTGGTGTATAACGATCGCATTTGCGTTGAAAATGTTGAGCTCCGTTAATGGATTGCAAACACGAAAAACAGAATTGCTTCATGCAACCCGTACATACTATCCAATTATCCTCGCCAGTTTTAACATTGAGTTTCTTACATGAAGTATTCGGACATGGCTTCACTCGTTGAACGATGGCAGCACCGATAAGCGATTTATTGTTAATGACAAATTTCGTTTCTTCCTTGCGTTCACCCTCTTGTGGTTGATTTTCGTCAACTCTCTGACTATGTTGTACAGACTGTTGTACTAAACAGCAAAGAGAGAATCTTGGTCGTATTTCGATTGAGAAAGGTTTCTTACTCAAGTCTTCTTTGATCGATCCGACTGATGAAGCGAAAGGAAATTGATATAACAACGATGCTACCTGAGGATCGCGAGTGCCTTCTCCACTCTTCCATGTAAAATCACGATAACAGTTCGCACAGCGCATGTGTGTACAACCACCATTTTTCTCAATCCTCACATGACAATATGGGCATAGTTGAGTATTAAGAGCTTCTACTCGTTCAGCATTTAATATCGTTTCTAATAACTGGTCTTCTTCTGCTAAATTAACAACAATTTCTCGATATGGTTGTTTAGCAACCCGTTGCTTTGCTGCGGTGATTTTCCTCTTGTCCATTGTAGCCCTTTGTGCGAGAGCTCTTTCTTCCAATGTAGCAGCTACTGCTAAATCTCCTTCTTGTATTTTTCGAATTCGTTCACGTTTTTCTTCTGCTTCTCTCTGCAGCCGTTCCATTTCTCTTTGCTTTTTCAATAGCATTTGCTCCATAATGTAATCTTTTGGACACGTGGTTTGAAAATGAAACAATTCTTTGCATTTCCTACAGAACGTAAAATGACATTGATGACACACACAGAGTGTATCATCTTTACCACCAGTAAGAACAGCAGACTGACATCTAAATCAAAAGGTGTTAACAATAGACAGTTGTTGTTTATAAGGCAAAAGAACTAACCTTGGGCACCAAATAACATCCTCCATGGCTTGTAGAGCACGTTGTAATGTTATTCTTTCGTATCGTTCGTATAAACGTTCATCTTGAAGAATTGCTTTGATTTCATTGGGCAGTAATGCCTTCTGACATTGACTTTGTGGACAATGTACTTGATCGCCAAATTGACCATTGTTAAATGTCAATTGAACATAATTATTTAAGCACGATTGACAATAGAAATGTCCACAGCGATAGAGACGAATACAATCCGTACCGGATATCATCTCTGTACATATTAAACATGTCTGAAGTTGATTTCGAAATTGTTGCTCCTCTTTTTCTGCGTTATAGTTAATTAAATATTGATAAATGTGATCGATATTGTCAGCGAGATAACCATTTAATGCTCGTGGATCATTGATTTGTTCACCGAAGCCTTTATCAAGTACTAATTCATTGGTAATCTCTTGCCTAATCAATTCAATCCAATCAAAAACACAAACTTCACCTTTAACAAACGCATAGTTATCAAGTTTTTGACAAAGGTTCTGTAAAGATGGTTTCGAAAAATAAAAACACGAAAGAACAAACGATGGAGGATAATCACTGGGATATTCATCATGGTAATGTATAATCAGAGTAAATGGAGGTAAATAACGAACGATCGCTGCTTTGTCATTGCATCGAATATAAAATGGTTCATTTAGATCAAAATCAATAGAAATTTCATATTGATCATTACCATTAAGAAGACGAAATCTTCCATCGAATATAGATTGTAATACCAAAATTTCATCCGTTTGTTTCTCCAGATTTGCCATCTATGATGTAAACTATGGAGGTGTTTTGATATATAAGCACGTGCTTTCTTTCTCTTTTGAAATTACACCATTGCATCACCGTGCTTTTACTTTATCAATAAGAAAAGAAAAGTCAACAAGCAGCTATTGGTGTCAGAATGCAATGTTAGTGACAATGTGAACACTTTCTCTGAATCTTCAAGAATGACCTGCGTTGTCAAGAACTTCGTTCATGGCCATGACTCATCATATTATTTTGATCGAAGAATGACGGGTGGTGTAGTTGTACATCTGTCTATAGCCACGTGCGTGTGACAATAAACTATGAGAAGGAGAAGAGAACAGAAAGCAAGAAAAGAAAAGAATATATCGTGTCGTCTACCCATTGACTCTGCCAAGCGAGTACGTTTTTTTTTCTATCATCTGTTTCACTTTCGCCTTACGTACTATTCAGATTAGCGGTTTTATCATGACGTTCTATGGTACTAATATCACAAAATTCGCGACGCAAACTCTGCAGGGTATGTTCTACATAGATGATTAGATGTAGAATTAACTTTGTTTCGAATAGGTTGGCGAAGTTTGATCAAACCTTACGTTATTACAACGATCGCCATTGGTTCGAGTGTCACTACCGGTGATCTCATCTGTCAATATTTAGAAAGTCATAAGAAAGGTCCAGATGGTAAACGTCTCGTACCACCGTCGTCTTCTACATTTTCATGGTGGAATCGTGAACGATCCCGAGTTATGGGTACAACAGCTGTTCTCGTATCAACACCTTGGTCGTTCACACTTGCAAGAATAGTTGAAAGATTATTTCCAGGTCAGTTCGAACAATAATATTTGAAAACATTCTCTCGAATGTTTGTTTTCATCACAGGCAAACAAGGAATTCAAATAGTAAAGAAAATCTTAACGAACTCGTTACTTGCGCCGATTAATATCAGTCTCGTATTTACATCGATTATCCTTTTACAAGGTCATACGCTGAAAGTGGCTAAAACGAAAATAAAAAATGATATGCCGAAAACATTCGCGATTGGCTCATGTTATTGGCCATTTGTTTCATTCATCAACTTTCGTTTCATACCATTGGATTACCGACCGATTGTTGGAAGTTTAGCTGGAGCTTTGTGGAACATCTACGTTTCTTCAGCTGCAAATAATCCCAAACTAAATCCCGATGGTAGTATACAAGTATCAGCTGGAACAGCACCAACTTTACTAGCGGAAACAAGCGGAACAGCAGTACCAGCCATACATGAAGCATGGAAAACAGTTGAGAACAATAAAAAGAATACGTAACATACTTGTAATTCATACTTTTCTGGAATTTGCTCGTTAATAAGATTATACATAGAATGACTATTATGTGAGAACGAAGCATATGAATATTGTGTGTCGTGTTCATTATCTAATTCTGTCTCATTTATTTAATAAGCTGCGTATAACAAAAAAAAAAGAGTCGATGGATTTTCTCAATTCTTAATATGCGAATTTGAATATTGATTATTCTAGTTTATGCGCATGTTCCTCTTCGAATTCTTGAATTTTAAGATGCTGTTGACTATGACTATGGTAATAATGATGTGCTGCATGAAATAAATAGTTAATCGTATCAGAAAAGTCCCAATGCTCGTTGCCCATATCTTCATTGTCAAATTGTCGAATGACCCACGCATCAAAACATAATTTAGGATTCGTTATATAATCATAAGGAATGTAACAATAGCCTTTCTCGCCCTACATACAACGATCAACGATAAGACAATATGTGAAAATAGATGAACACCTACCCATTTTTCTCCCCATGAATTTCTAACGATAAATGCCTTCGATTGATCACTGTAACCAACAGCTAGCATCGCATGCCTGTGTTAATCGAAATAATGCGTAGGATTTTTTTCTCGGAAAATTCTACTCAGACCTGCCGTGTTCACTTCGACTCTGTTCGGTTTCATCGGGCGTTGGCACAAGCCCTGTCTGAGCTGCCTTATCAAACGATGTATATAGTCGTAAGCCGAATGCAAATGGAAAGCCTTGTGCAAGACAAGATTTCATTTCGTTTAAATCAATTTTCACATGAAGAGCTTGATGTATTCTATGTTTTGAGCCTTTTTCAAAAGCTGTATCATTAGGACGCTCATTAACGCGTGCGATGTCGTACGGCCAAATCGATTCAAGGCAAGTACCCAATTCTTCCAATGCTTCGATCGCATTTGTCATCGAACAACCCGAATCGGTTACTACAGTCGAATGTGTATTCTTAACACGGCCGTTGTAATAAATGAACAAACGACTAACATCGACATTGATACCATGAACTCGTTTGATTAAGTATTCATAAGCGCCTATGTGAAAAGTAATGAGAAAGCATGGTTACTGATTTATTGTAAGTACCTGCAAGTGAATTTGCCGTGCTAAAAGAGATTTAGAAAAGTAAGTCGAAGTTCTGGTCAAATATGTCTCGTTACCAACTACCGATTCTTGATTGATCTTCAACAGGTGTCATGTAGGATCGCAGATCAACTTTAGGTGGAAGTTGCTCGGGACTGTAGAGAATACTGTCAGAAAATGCTTGCCGTAGTTCTTCCTTATGTGGCATACGATGTGATGGTTCAATACCGTTCAGACGACATATACTATTCGTCAGTTGATTGATTAAATACGTTCGGACAGGCATATTAAGTTTCTTATCGAGAAGAATACAAAATCAGTGTGTTAACTACCTACTAAACGTTACAAACATATTCGCTTTTGTTCGTTTCGTTACATGCTTGACTTCACTCCCATGAATCAGTTACACATTTGTAGATAAAGCTACTGCTTGCTGATCGTTCTTTTTTTCCCAATAATCAATACGCATGGGAGGTAAACAACATAGAATGTCATATCTGATCGATCATCATGGACGTTTTTAATTTCAAATAGCAAACATAAAATGATATTCAGATTTCATTAGCATTACAGCATAAAAATTTATTATTTTGTCGTAGGAGAGATTTGTAATTGTATGTATACCGTACTAGAATTACAAAAAAATTTAACTAATATATCCGACAGTATCGTCTGATTACATCAACAAGAATTATTGCTAGGCAATGCATCGATCGGTGCTGAAAACTCATAAAAATCAATCCGAATAGCAATGAATCACATAGATTACATTTTGCTAATGTTAAGTTACACGCGCACCCATACTTTATTCTATTTGTGTATATGTATTCAATTGATACTTCCGATTCTCAAGAGTATTTGGTAGTAAAAATACTACTGACGAGTCTTTTTGACTTTTACCACTTATCTAGTCAGAGAAAAACCAACGATGCATAGAAATGATAAAAACTATTTTGTCGTTCACATTTAAATTACTAAAATTACGGTAACGTCCAAATGAGGAAGTGACGAAGAGGGCAATATTGAATCTCTCGTCATCTTGGAGAAAGTAATTACGAATGTGTTTTGTATATATTTGTGTCTTATAAACGGTATTTAATATATACCTGTTTTCCGAAAAGATTCTTACTACTTCGATCATTTGATTTCGCATTAAAAGAGAGGTATGGGTGTTGCAGAAAGTAGTGGTAGTAGTCAGAATGTTACAGGTCCAACAGCAATACGTGTGCATGACGCAAATCCGCTTCTTTACGCGACGCCACAAGAACACATGATTATTCAACCCTACTGGGTCTTGATTGTAGAATTAATCGTAAAGCAAATTATTGCTAATCGTGTTTGGAACAGAATACGTCATAATACATGGGCTACAACACAGGAAATAGCTATGGGGCGTATGGTGCTTAGGCTACAAATCGTTTATCTTAAAGCAGAGAAATTGGCATCAGACGGTATATATCACGCAGCTCGACAACATCAAACTACAGCTACTAGTAAGTCTCCAACACCTAAGCAGACTACGATAAAATTTTTCAAAGATACGTTTACCAGTCCTCAATCACTACTGGATCGTACGGCATTGGTAGGTAGTAAAGTTTTTTCGACACTAAGAAGAGATATAGATACATTGGATTATGAGATCGAACAAAAAGAAGAAGAAACTAGACGCTCACAAGAGAAGATGGACAAACTTGCTCGTAGGCTCCAGCTCGATATTTTTGACCTTCTCTTCCATTCTTTACCTCTTCTTGGTCAGACAATTTGGTATTTCTATCTACAGTCAGAATGCATGAGTGCGGAACAGGCAAGTACATGGAACTGTTACAATGTGTTTGGTTATCGTCTCTATAATTATGTTTTTACTTCATACTGTGCTTTCTATTGACTTACGACGATGAAACTTTCCACTTATATAGAGAGTGATCAAAATATCAATGAGACGAATGACAAGAATCTTCGATCAAGTTGGCAAAAATGTATAGACATATTGAGGAAAATAGAATTTTATGCAAGTTTGTGGTCATCCTGGATTACAGTTATCGTTGTTGGTGTTCCTCTTGTTCCTTATCTTTTGACAAATGTGATACCAATGGCATGCACCTATATTTTTGTATGCATTATTTATATAGTGCTTTGGATAAGTGCGTTATTTTTTTGTCGAATTCTTATAAAGATTCCTCTGATAAATAAGTTATTATTTGGCATTTTGGAAGATGTCCTGGAGGAATATAAAGGTTTTTATGCGCCCTACTTGATGTTTTTATTTACAATTCTTACTTTACCAATATTATTCACGACTTTCTTTAATTATTCACAATACTTTTACTATAGTAATAATCTTTTCGATACTATGACGTATGAATTTGACTCTCGCAATACGGCAATCTATTTTCGTGGATTACAATCATCTGTCAGTAATATATTTCATAATGTATTGTCCTTTGTTTAAAGCCATTGTTTTACGAACATTTTACAAATTTTGCAAAGTTATATCAATAAGAACTTTAGTAAATTAAATGTATAACGTCGTACGAATGTCTATTTCTCATTTTTATTTTAAAAATATCAACGTCTTATTACTAAACTTCGCTTTGGATGTAAAACTGCCCAAACGATGAGTGCAATCAGAGTAGGCGCTAATTGAAAGATGAAAAACCACATTTGCTGTTGACTTGTAATAATATAGTATTGTGGTATCGATGTAATCACATCATATATAGCAATTACTAAGCAAGTGACGCTTGAAATAAGTAACAGCACAATACCTTGCTTTGTCGTGTCTTTGAATGCTTTCGTTGCGAACCAGATTGGATAGAATAGAACAGCTAAAGCAAGTTTAAGACCTGCTGAGATTTGACGCAATTGAAAACCACTTGCAATCGTGTAAGGATTGGTCAATTGCATTCCAGAAACGATTGCAAGAATATTGGAAACCATCATAATCAACAGCGCTCCGACAAGAATAAGTCGCGATAACATCCATTGATAGCCAAGGACTTTAGTGATGAAACCATAATTGGCTAAAATATGCATACGTTGTCCGACGACTGTGAGAACCGAGATGATTATTAAATTAGTTGTTGTGTCTAGTGTTGAGTAGTAAATTGTTCCACGAAATACCATTTCAGCGAAATTGGTCAGATAAAAAATGAGAACGATGATAGTCAACTGTGGCGGGCGACAGGATGCTTGAATCGATTGTACAAGCCATACTAACGTTAGAATCCCAACAAACGAAGCAAGAACAGCAGCAGTTATTATTTCTGTTTCAAACATTGTTACGTAGGATAAGTAAATGAACTTCTTGTGTAAAAGAGAAAGAATTAGTGAATCTCAGTTTTTTTTTCTTCTTTTTCTCTCGTCCCCGTCATATTTTTCCTGTAAAGAGAAGTATAATCGTATTTAGTAACCATAGATACAACGCGCATCAAAAAAACAAGCACAAAAACAACAAGTATCCAAGAAAATATCTTTCCGCTCATCAAATTGATTTTATTCAAATAAAACTGTCAGAATTCTAATAAAGTATTTATTTACTGAAACACAAACTATTTTATCATGATTTTCACATAAAATAACGTTGGCATTATCAATGACGTCAAAGATAGAAATGTCTCTCAACAACTTTCTTTTGTCCTACGCATACTTTTGTCTTTCTTTGTGCACATGTCGATCATCATCCCCCGCCTGGATATTAATGAAAAGAAACTTCGCAATCGATATCATCGTAGCAGAACATAGTTCTTGTCTTTTTTCTTTCTCGAACTGTTTCATTACTATATTTGTCCATCGATGTTTGAAATATTCTCGTCGTTTTCTTTTTTTAGTGCAACATGACGTATAAATAGCCTAGAAGATTTTCTCTCATTTCTCTTCTCGTAGACTTATCATCATACACATATACTTTTCTGTTCCAAATTATGACTCAACAAGCTGTAAGTTGAAAAGATTTCTTTGGTTTTCTTAACTTTTGTTCGTTTTTCCTCAAGAATATCGGATTACCAAATCGACCGTTCCGTATTTCGAACGTATCTCCTTCAGCAAATATTTTTGAAGATGATCAATACATGGCTAATCTTATCGATCAACATTTAGCTTTAAGTTCCTCTGGAAGATCACGCAAAGTGTCGACGATCAGCCAGCCTATTCTTACTGAAGACATTTCGTTATTCAATAACGCAGGCTTTCTTCCTCATCAAATTCGTCGTTCAGAAACTTCATATCCGTATGCATATAAACCATCCGGAAATCTCCAAGCAAAGTCAGGTGTTCAGTTACGAAACACTTCTACGTGTACGGATGACTTCCACGAAGAATTACCAATTAACATAAATCATCTACGTCGTCAACAAACCAAAGGAATTAAGAAAACAATCAAATCGATTTCAAAAACACGTGTGCTGGATCCGTGTGCACAATCAATGGAAAGTGCTGTTCAACTCGATCATTGTCAACGTTTAGCTGCACCACACCCAATTAGATATAAAATTTCNTCGTAGCAACTCCTTGGTCGTTCACATTTGAAAGAATAGTTGAAAGATTATTTCCAGGTCAGTTCCAACAATAATATTTGAAAACATTCTCTCGGATGTTTGTTTTCATCACAGGCAAACAAGGAATTCAAATAGTGAAGAAAATCTTAACGAACTCGTTACTTGCACCGATTAATATCAGTCTCGTATTTACATCGATTATCCTTTTACAAGGTCATACGCTGAAAGTGGCTAAAACGAAAATCAAAAATGATATGCCCAAAACATTCGCGGTCGGCTCATGTTATTGGCCATTTGTTTCATTCATCAACTTTCGTTTCATACCATTGGATTACCGACCGATTGTTGGAAGTTTAGCTGGAGCTTTGTGGAACATCTATGTTTCGTCAGCTGCGAATAATCCCAAACTAAATCCGGATGGTAGTATACAAGCATCAGCTGGAACAGCGCCAACTTTACTAGCGGAAACAAGTGGAACAGCAGTACCAGCAATACATGAAGCATGGAAGACGGTTGACAACAATAAAAAGAATGCGTAGCATACTTGTAATTCATACTTTTCTGGAAGATGTTCGCTAATATGATTATACATAGATTAACTATTCTGTGAGAATGAAGCATATGAATATTATATATGTCGTGCTCATCATCTAATTCTGTCTCATTTATTTAATAAGCTACGGTATAACAAAAAGAAAAGAGTCGATGGATTTTCTCAATTCTTAGTATGCGAATTTGAGTATTGATTATTCTAGTTTATGCGCATGTTCCTCTTCGAATTCTTGAATTTTAAGATGCTCGTGACTGTGACTATGGTAATAATGATGTGCTGCATGAAATAAATAGTTGATCGTGTCAGAAAAGTCCCAATGTTCATTGCCCATATCATCATTGTCAAATTGTCGAATGACCCATGCATCAAAACATAATTTAGGATTCGTTATATAATCATAAGGAATGTAACAATAGCCTTTCTCGCCCTACATACAACGATAAGACAATGTGTGAAAATAGATGAACACTTACCCATTTTTCTCCCCATGAATTCCTAACGATAAATGCCTTCGATTGATCACTGTAACCAACAGCTAGCATCGCATGCCTGTGTCAATCAGAATAATGCGTAGGATGTTTTTTCTCGGAAAATTCTACTCAAACCTGCCGTGTTCACTTCGACTCTGTTCGATTCCATCGGGCATTGGTACAAGTCCTGTCTGAGCTGCCTTATCAAATGATGTATACAACCGTAAGCCGAATGCAAATGGAAAGCCTTGTGCAAGACAAGATTTCATTTCGTTTAAATCAATTTTCACATGAAGAGCTTGGTGTATTCTATGTTTCGATCCTTTTTCAAAAGCTGTGTCATCAGGCCGCTCATTAACGCGTGCGATGTCGTACGGCCAAATCGATTCAAGGCAAGTACCAAATTCTTCTAATGCTTCGATCGCATTTGTCATCGAACAACCCGAATCGGTTACTACAGTCGAATGTGTATTTTTAACACGGCCGTTGTAATAAATGAACAAACGACTAACATCGACATTGATACCATGAACTCGTTTGATTAAGTATTCATAAGCGCCTATGTGAAAAGCAATGAGAAAGCATGGTAACTGATTTATTGTAAGTACCTGCAAGTGAATTTGCCGTGCTAAAAGAGATTTAGAAAAGTGTAAGTCGAATTTCTGGTCAAATATGTCTCGTTACCAACTACCGATTCTTGATTGATCTTCAACAGGTGTCATGTAGGATCGCAGATCAACTTTAGGTGGAAGCTGCTCGGGACTGTAGAGAATACTGTCAGAAAATGCTTGCCGTAGTTCTTCCTTGTGTGGCATACGATGTGATGGTTCAATACCGTTCAGACGACATATACTATTCGTCAGTTGATTGATTAAATATGTTCGGACAGGCATATTAAGTTTCTTATCGAGAAGAATACAAAATCAGTGTGTTAACTACCTACTAAACGTTACAAACATATTCGCTTTTGTTTGTTTCGTTGCATGCTTGACTTCACTCCCATGAATCAGTTACACATTTGTAGATGAAGCTACTGCTTGCTGATCGTTCTTTTTTTCCCCAATAATCAATACGCATGGGAGGTAAACAACATAGAATGTCATATCTGATCGAAACATCATGGGCGTTTTTAATTTTAAATAACAAACATAAAGTGATATCCAGATTTCATTAGTATTAGAGCATAAAAATTTATTATTTGGTCGTAGGAGAGATATTTAATTAAATGTATACTAGGGTTACAAAAAAATTTAACTAATATATCGGACAGTATCGTCTGATTACATCAACAAGAATTATTGCTAGGCAATGCATTGATCGGCGTTGAAACCTCATAAAAATCAATCCGAATAGCAATGAATCACATAGATTGCATTTTGCTAACGTTAAGTTACACGCGCACCAATGCTTTATTCTATTTGTGTCTATGTATTCAATTGACACTTCCAATTCTCAAAAGTATTTGGTAGTAAAAAATACTACTGACGAGTCTTTTTGATTTTTGCCATTTATCTCGTCAGAGGAAAACCAGCGATAGATAGAAATGATAAACAATATTTTGTCGTATGCATATTAATTATCTAGAATAATCGTAACGGCCAAATGAGGAAGTGACAAAGAGGGCAATATTGAATCGCGCGTCACCTTGGAGAAAGTACGAATATGTTTGAATATATTTACCTCTCATAAACGTTATTTAATATACATTTTTTCCGAAAAGATTCTTACTACTTCGATCATTTGACTTCGCATTAAAAGAGAGGTATGGGTGTTGCAGAAAGTAGTGGTAGCAGTCAGAATGTTACAGGTCCAACAGCAATACGTGTGCATGACGCAAATCCGCTTCTTTACACGACGCCACAAGAACACATGATTATTCAACCCTACTGGGTCTTGATTGTACAATTATTCGTAAAGCAAATTATTGCTAATCGTGTTTGGAACAGAATACGTCATAACACATGGGCTACAACACAGGAAATAGCTATGGGGCGTATCGTGCTTATGCTACAAATCGCTTATCTTAAAGCAAAGAAATCGATACTTGAAAGTGTGCGCACAGCTCGACAACATCAAACTACAACTACAAGTAAGTCTCCAACACTTAAGCAGACCACGATAAACTTTTTCAAAGATACATTTACCAGTCCTCAATCACTACTGGATCGTGCGGCATCGGCTGGTAGTAATGATTTTTCGACACTGAGAAGCAATATAGATGAATTGGATGATGAGATCGAACAAAAAAAAAACGAAATTGAAAGCTCACAAAAGAAGAGAGAAGAGCTTTCTCGTAGGCTCCAGCTCGATATTTTTGACCTTCTCGTCCATTGTTTACCTCTGCTTGGTCAGACAATTTGGTATTTCTATCTGCAGTCAAAATGCATGAGTGCGGAACAGGCAAGTACATGGAACTGTTACAATGTGTTTGGCTATCGTCTCTATAATTATGTTTTCACTTCATACTGTGCTTTCTTTTGGCTTACGATGATGAAACTTCCCATTTATGTAGACAGTGAACGAAATACTAATGAGACGAATGACAAGAATCTTCGATCGGGTTGGCAAAAATGTATAGACGTATTGAGAAAAATAGAATTTCATGCAAGTTTCTGGTCATCCTGTATTACAATTATCGTTGTTGGTGTTCCTATTGCTCCTTATCTTTTGACAAATGTGATACCAATGGCATGCACCTACACTTTTATATGCATTATTTATATAGTGCTTTGGTTAAGTGCGTTACTTTTTTGTCGAATTCTTGTAACGATTCCTCTCATAAATAAGTTATTATTTGGCATTTTGGAAGATATCCTGAAAGAATATAAACATTTTTATGCGCCCTACTTGATGTTTTTATTTACAATTCTTACCTTACCAATACTATTCACGACTTTCTTTAATTATTCACAATACGTTTACTATAGCAACAATCTTTTCAATACTATGACGTATGAATTTGACTCTCGCAATACGGCAACCTATTTTCGTGGATTACAATCGTCTGCCAGTAATACATTTCATACTGTATTGTTCTTTATTTAAAGCCATTGTTTTATGAACATTTTACAAACTTTCCAAAGTTATCTCAATAAGAACTGTAATAAATTAGCTGTGTAGTGCAGTACGATACTGTCTGTTTCTCATTTTTATTTTAAAAATATCAACGTCTTATTACTAAACTTCGCTTTGGATGTAAAACTGCCCAAACGATGAGCGCAATCAGAGTAGGCGCTAATTGAAAGATAAAAAACCACATTTGCTGTTGACTTGTAATAATATAGTACTGGGGTATCGATGTAATCACATCATATATAGCCATTACTAAGCAAGTGACACTTGAAACAAGTAAAAGCACAATACCTAGCTTTGTCGTATCTTTGAATGCTTTAGTTGCGAACCAGATTGGATAGAACAGGACAGCCAAAGCCAGCTTAAGACCTGCTGAGATTTGACGCAATTGAAAACCACTTGCAATCATGTAAGGATTGGTCAATTGCATTCCAGAAACGATTGCAAGAATATTGGAAACCATCATAATCAACAGCGCTCCGGCAAGAACAAGTCGTGATAACATCCATTGATAGCCAAGGACTTTAGTGATGAAACCATAATTGGCTAAAATATGCATACGTTGTCCGACGACGGTGAGAACCGAGATGATTATTAAATTAGTTGTTGTGTCTAGTACTGAGTAGTAAATCGTTCCACGAAATACCATTTCAGCGAAAGTGGTCAGATAAAAAATGAGAACGATGATAGTCAACTGTGGCGGGCGACAGGATGCTTGAATCGATTGTACAAGCCATACTATCGTTAGAATCCCAACAAATGAAGCAAGAACAGCAACAGTTATTATTTCTGTTTCAAACATTGTTACTTAGGATCAGCAAATGAACTTCTTGTAAAAAAGAGAAAGAATTAGTGAATCTCTTTTTTTTTCTTCTTTTTCTCTCGTCTTCGTCATCTTTTTTCTGTAAAGAGGAATATGGGCGTATTTAGTAACCATAGATACAGCGGCATCAAAAAGCAAGCAGAAAAACAACAAATATTCAAGAAAATATCTTTCTGCTCATCAAATTGATGTTATTTAAATAAAACTGATAGAATTCTAATAAAGTATTTATTTACTGGAACAGAAACTATTTTATCATGACTTTCACATAAAATAACGTTGGCATTATCATTGACGTCAAAGATAGAAATATCTCTCAACAACTTTCTTTTGTCCTACGCATACTTTTGTCTTTCTTTGTGCACATGTCGATCATCGTCCCCCGCCTGGATATTAACGAAAAGAAACTTCGCAATCGATATCATCCGTAGCAGAGCATATTTTTTTGTCTTTTTCTTTCTCGAACTGTTTCATTACTATATTTGTCCATCGATGTTTGAAATATCCTCGTCGTTTTCTTTTTTTAGTGCAACATGACGTATAAATAGCCTAGAAGATTTTCTCTCTTTTCTCGTCTCGTAGACTTATCGTTATACACATATACTTTTCTGTTCCAAATTATGACTCAACAAGCTGTAAGTTAAAAAGACTTCTTTGATTTTTTGAACCTTTGTTCGTTTTTCCTCAAGAATATCGGATTACCAAATCGACCGTTCCGTATTTCGAACGTATCTTCTTCAGCAAATATTTGTGAAGATGATCAATACATGGCTAATCTCATCGATCAACATTTAGCTTTAAGTTCCTCTGGAAGATCACGCAAAGTGTCGACGATCAGCCAGCCTATTCTTACTGAAGACATTTCGTTATTTAATAACGCAGGCTTTCTTCCTCATCAAATTCGTCGTTCAGAAACTTCATATCCGTATGCGTATAAATCATCCGGAAATCTCCAAGCAAAGTCAGGTGTCCAGTTACGAAACACTTCTACGTGTACGGATGACTTCCACGAAGAATTACCAATTAACATAAATCATCTACGTCGTCAACAAACCAAAGGAATTAAGAAAACAATCAAATCGATTTCAAAAACACGTGTGCTGGATCCGTGTGCACAATCAATGGAAAGTGCTGTTCAACTCGATCATTGTCAACGTTTAGCTGCACCACACCCAATTAGATATAAAATTTCCGAAAATATTCTACCATCAACTGGTACTATTCTAAGAACACACTATGCAATGATACAAGAAGAGCCAGCGCAAGAACCGTCGATTCATCTCAGTCAATTACGAGTACCGTTGTTTGCCACATCCAATACGACAAACCAATCCGTTTCATCAATCATCGAACCAACGACGTTCGTTGACTTACCAATAATGAATGAAACTCCTTTTCATATCGATCGTGTTCAACGTTTGACTACACCGCAAGTCATTCAATACAAACCATCAACAACTATTCAGCCATCCATAGGTTCAATATTTCAAACAAGGTTAGCACTTGGTCGAGAAGATTCACCAGAAGAAAAATCCTTTCATATCAATCAATTACGGCATCCAGCCATGAAACATTCATCGACTAATGAACGAGTATGGGCTTGGATGTAAAAATATTCGTCACGTCTTTTTTAACTGACGACGTACAGTTGCACTTTGATACACTTAAAGTAATGTGAATATGCACAAATGTATAATGCACTCACATGTACTATTCGCGCATTTTTTAAAGATGAATATTGCTTTATTGATTTTGCGTTCTACAATAAATGACGCTGCTTGAATACTATTTTTATCCATTAAATACGTCGAAATTTATTAATATCGATTTGTATGTAATATGACTCAGTTCCTCGCGAACGACATCATTTGTTGCTAGTTTTAATTACTTTTTTGCGTACATCTTATATCAACAAATCATATAGTATATATAAGGGAACTAAAATATTTTTTTCCTATACATTACACTGCTCGCAAGCGACAAGAAAATGCATCGACTACCGACAATACTTGTTCTATTTCTCATACTTGTAATATATCTATTTGGTTATACTGAAAGCGCTTCTTGTGGTGCATACAATCCAACATTCTACACTTGTTGTAACGGAGTGCTTACTTTCGGATCCGGCAAGTCCTGCTGTGGTACAACAGCCTATGATCCAACATTTTACACTTGCTGCAGCGGTCTTCTGACTTTCGGACGCGGAAAGTCCTGCTGTGGTACAACAGCCTATGATCCGACATTCTACACCTGCTGTAATGGTGCTCTAACATTTGGACGAGGTTTAGCCTGTGGAAAATAACTGACAGTTGATTGCTTAAACACGAATTTTTTCTCGACGACTAAAAATTAATCGAAGAGTTTGAATTTTTTTTGTATCTTCTTTATTGAAAAACATATATGTGTTAGAAAAGTTAACCTTCTCAGTCGTTGATTAACGCAATATTCGGTTTAAAATGTGAACTGATGTGTTGAATAACTTCTTCGAACGAGAGCAGCTTGAATGTATCTCTTTCAAATCACTCAACTTCGTCCTTATATATTCTTGTTTTGATACATAGATGGTTACATATTGCAACAAAATGACGCTTATTTATTTCAGATATAGCTAGATGTTATCGTTACTTGATTGATGGAAAGAATATCCTTGTTTTGATAAAGTATCTGTTTGCTAAAACAGCGTTCAAATTTCAGTAAAACGGAACTAATAGACTCACAAAGGAACTGGTGCCAATATGCGTCTAATTCTACGCTCCAGGATGAACGAGTGGAAAAGGAACGTTATATTTACGGTTTCATCTGCTTTATACAAATGACACCCAAGTCGTGATTATTATTTCAGTTAGATTATTCGTACAAAAGGGATAAAAAGATTGAAAAACAAGTCTCTCAACCACAAATTTAATCATCATCAGTTTGTTGTAAAATGCTCAGACAGAGTGCCAACTGTTTCTTTTCCAAATAAGAATTCACTCGGCTAAGTACGGTTATTTTGATCGACTGTGTATCTTGTGAGTAATACGNGTTTCATCAATCATCGAACCAACGACGTTCGTTGACTTACCAATAATGAATGAAACTCCTTTTCATATCGATCGTGTTCAACGTTTGACTACACCGCAAGTCATTCAATACAAACCATCAACAACTATTCAGCCATCCATAGGTTCAATATTTCAAACAAGGTTAGCACTTGGTCGAGAAGATTCACCAGAAGAAAAATCCTTTCATATCAATCAATTACGACATCCAGCCATGAAACATTCATCGACTAATGAACGAGTATGGGCTTGGATATAAAAATATTCGTCACGTCTTTTTTAGCTGACGACGTACAGTTGCATTTTGATACACTTAAAGTAATGTGAATATGCACAAATATATAATGCACTCACATGTTCTATTCTCGCATTTTTTAAAGATGAATATTGCTTTATTGATTTTGCGTTCTACAATAAATGACGCTGCTTGAATACTATTTTTATCCATTATGTAAATACGTCGAATTTTATTAATAACGATGTGTATGTAATATGACTCAGTTCCTCGCGAACGACATCATTTGTTACTAGTTTTAATTACTTTTTTGCGTGCATCTTAAATCAAAAAATCATAGTATATACAAGGGGAGTAAAATTATTTTTCCTATACATTACACTGCTCGCAAGCGGCAAGAAAATGCATCGACTACCGACAATACTTGTTCTATTTCTCATACTTGTAATATATCTATTTGGTCATACTGAAAGCGCTTCTTGTGGTGCATACAATCCAACATTTTATACCTGTTGTAACGGAGTGCTTACTTTCGGATCCGGCAAGTCCTGCTGTGGTACAAAAGCCTATGATCCAACATTTTACACCTGTTGTAACGGAGTGCTTACTTTCGGATCCGGCAAGTCCTGCTGTGGTACAACAACCTATGATCCAACATTTTACACCTGTTGTAACGGAGTGCTTACTTTCGGATCCGGCAAGTCCTGCTGTGGTACAACAGCCTATGATCCGACATTCTACACCTGCTGTAATGGTGCTCTAACGTTTGGACGAGGTTTAGCCTGTGGAAAATAGCTGACAGTTGATTGCTTAAACACGAATTTTTTCTCGACGACTAAAAATTAATCGAAGAGTTTGAATTTTTTTGTATCATCTTTATTGAAAAATATATATGTGTTAGAAAAATTAACCTTCTCAATCGTTGATTAACGCAATATCCGGTTTAAAATGTGAACTGATGTGTTGAATAACTTCTTCGAACGAGAGCAGCTTGAATGTATCTCTTTCAAATCACTCAACTTCTTCCTTATATATTCTTGTTTTGACACATAGATGGTTACATATTGCAACAAAATGACGCTTATTTATTTCAGATATAGCTAGATGTTATCGTCACTTGATTGATGGAAAGAATATCCTCGCTTTGATAAAACTCTTCGATTGCTTTAATAAAGTATCTGTTTGCTAAAACAGCGTTCAAATTTCAGTAAAACGGAATTAATAGACTCACAAAGGAATTGGCGCCAATATGCGTCTAATTCTACGCTCTAGGATGAACGAGTGGAAAAGGAACGTTATATTTACGGTTTCATCTGCTTTATACAAATGACACCCAAGTCGTGATTATTATTTCAGTTAGATTATTCGTACAAAAGGGATAAAAAGACTGAAAAACAAGTCTCTCAACCACAAACTTAATCATCACCAGTTCGTTGTAAAATGCTCAGACAGAGTGCCAACTGTTTCTTTTCCAAATAAGAATTCACTCGGCTAAGTACGGTTATTTTGATCGCTTCTGTATCTTGTGAATAATACACTCGGTAAATATGATAATTCTCAGGATGTTCAAGTAAACATTTGATTTCACCAATGGATATTTGAAATGTATGCTGCTTATGATTTGTTGTTGTTTTCACTTCGATCAATTCGATTTGTCCATCTTTTTTCAAGCGAATATCATACGGCAGACATGATTCTTGTTTTATATTCATCCACTCAACATGGTCATTTGGATATTTCCAACGGAGAAAATCGAAAACAATTTGTTCGCCTTGACGACCGATAAGACTATCGGTTGTAGTGTTCGTTGGGTGAATTGTAATCGAAGAAATCGGCAGCGAAGAAAGATCAGAATCAGATAGAGTCGACACTCGAATACTTTCGAATCTAGCTATTTCAACTGGAGTAAATTTTGAAATATCAACAGTCGCAGCATGTGAATGAAGTGTTTTAGTTGATCGAACTTTCTCGTCGTCTCTATCAGAAACAGGAGGCTTGCTTTTTCTCGCAGGAGCACTCTGCGCAGTAGTTTCGGATGACGGAGAGACATTGGACTCGGGAGTTGCCGACGGTTCCGATGGATATGATTTTGGAATTTCTACTGACTCGACAACATTTGCTTTCTCAGGAAAACAAGTGGGATTGTTCTCATCTTTTTCGGCTCTTGGACGAGATGGAGGCTTTCGCTCAGGTACAGGCTCGTTCATGACTTGCTCGATCAATTCAGCGGGTATATCAGTAAGTTCTATCTTTGAAGACACTTCCTCATTTTGTGAAGATGCGGATGGCAGTACAAGGTTCAAATAAACATTCGGAAACATCCATTTGTCATCCTTTGGTTGAGTAGCTATATGACCATATCGTGTTGTTAAGCCTAGTGCGCCTTCATCTTGAAAGATCTGCGATAATTCCATTATAAATGATACTAACTCAGGCGCAACTGTTCGATCATGCACAAGATATTTTGCCATTGTTTCAGCGTGACGTATGTGCGAGTTTTCGAACATTTTCAAAATATAGAATCGGCCGGCTTGTTCATCAATGTAGGTATCACACGTCTCTGTATGCAAAGTACTCTCCTGGTAATGATAAGAGATTTGAATACAGTCAACACAGACGAAATGCATACGGGCAAAAACGGAGGACAAATATTTCGCTCGTTCGTTATTGACGAGTGATTTTGTTAGTAGAAAGTACTGTATAATTGGCATGATATTGAAGTAGAACGTAAATAGATTTATGGACAGTTGTTCGTTCTCGACGTGAACTTGTACTCCTAACACATCAGTTAAATTCTGAATGTCAAACAGTGAGCAGAAGCGATTGACGGATTCAGAGGATAAAGACCAATCTATAAAAAAAGAATAAAGACGATCTCAAAGCATACACATCGCTCAAAGTTCGTACCTGGCAATTGAACAATCGGTAAACTCTTGGCTAAACAACTGGCAAGATCAAGATTATTGGGATAATATGGTCGATCTAGATATGTAACTCGTCTGGTCGTTTGGTTCGTGCAGGGAATGAATGCCAAACTAGCGCATCGTTCTACAAAAACAAACAATCATTCGATGGGTATGTAAAACAAATCTCTGATAATCACCTTTGATTTCTAATTGACGATTTTGTTGAAATGTTAATTGTATAACTACTTCAATCACTCGCCATAGATCATTTATAACTTAATATTTGTGTTAATAGTAGAAGATAATCATCAATGGAAGGTTCCAAAGTGATTTGAAGTGTGTCAAGAAAAAATTTCTGTAAATGAGTATCATGATTGTAATATTGCTGAATAGAAATCCGACGTCGTGAATCCATAAGAATGTTACTATTCAAATTTGACAGCACTGACAATGGATCATGCCAATAGACTTGATGAGGAAACAGAAAACGGCCTTTGCCATTGTTTTCTGGCACGAATACAAGTGGCCAAAGACGAAAACGGCTAAGAAAATGATGAGTATTGTTGTCACTTATAAGAAACTGATATATGCGACGAATACTATCCAATGTTTCGTAGCACGGTTGACCAAATGTTTGTGGAAGAGCACAAGGTATTCTACAACGAACAAATCGTTCTTTTTGGATGAGCATAGCATAGTATCGTCAACTCACAGTTCGAGTTCATTTGGTGCATTCAACATCATCCATAGGATATTCTGATTTAAATCAGACGACCATTTCATGAAGATTTCAAACATAGTTATAGGCAAAACGTGCTCCTTTAACCCGAGTGTGTTTACTACAAAGTCTCGATTAGTTAATGTTAGTTTTGCTTGATCTAGATGTTGTACGTAGCAACGAAAGCATAATGTTTCACTTTTCGGATGTATATTATAGACATCGTCTGCTTTAGCTAGTCTGTTCCCTTCGATTGGTATCCAAATATGATTTCTCAACGATAGACAGAATGTCGATGGAATACGTGTATCTGCATGTCTCCGTCCAGATTTGACTTGATCGGCAGATATAATCGATGCGAGATAATATTTCGACAATGTTGAATGATGACGATCTAAATAGGTGAGCAAACTGACGCAAAAATCAATGTCGGTAGCTGTATTGTTTAGCTGTGCAACGAGTGTGTTGAATTCATCACAAGAACAATCTTCTATTATGAATGGTTGACAAATGATCGTAGCCAATTCGGCAGTAAAGCAAGCCCAATGAGTAGTTTGAAGTTGGAGAACATTGATGTAATCTAAAATCAATCAAAGGTGAAGAGTCGATAGAGAAAAAGAACGCTAATTACGTGTATCAGTTATGTTTATTTGCAGAAATTCAGTAACATTGAGTTGATCAAGAAATCGAACGAAATTCTTGATGTTTTGATCTGTAGGAAACAACTCCGTACGAAAGTTATTGATGTAATCATCTGAGATGTATGTAAATTCATGTCTTGGCGGGTTTAAACATTCCAGTGATTTTGTGCATCCGTATGAAGATGTTAAATGTATTATGGTGCCAGGTGTATCAAGTCGAATGAATTGATTATTACGTGTTTTGATGACCATAAACTTCTTTAGTTGATCCAGATCGTTTTCGAATTGATTAAAATGTACATAGATACACAAGAGAAAAGCAACAAGAACAAAATCAGATTTCGATGAATAACGTGTCGAATCTCGAAGTGTAGGTAATATATACGAGCGATATATGTCCTTGACTTTCGGTTTATCAGTGATACCTATATGTCGAAGATATTCTTGTTTGACCGTACAAATGTTCGATACTTACCTAGCTTTCTAAGTAGAGAGACGATTGAGTCGTATCGTCGTGGAAATTCAGCTTCAATACATTCTAATAATCGTTCGTCAAGTTGAGATATATCGTCAAGAATAATCTTGAATGGTTTTGTGTAATGATTGATTTTCGGCAATGGAAACAGTATTACTTCGTTGTTGTATTCATCCATAGATATTAATCGTACTTGGCCTCTCAGTGGAATTATCTTCAGTTGTTTCAACTCGTTTATTGTCGCACTTTCGTCTTTTTCGCTATAACCACCGCGTGACTGTTCGTATTCTTGTTGTTGCTGCTCAAGAACGTAATCGATACAGACTAGCCATTGAGCAACTGAAATGAAACTTATTTGTACAAGCATTTCTAAAACGAACGTGGTTAATAACTTACTTTGTTTGATACTCGATGTCTTTGTTGAATGTTCTTGGCCGTGTCGCGTGTACAATTCTTTGATAAGTCGAGTGATTGAAGAAAATTGTAACGGAGCACATCCTAATTTGATTAATGTTCGCTCATCGCATTCGGATATCAATTGTTCAGGTACGTAGTATTTATTAAAATGCGCGCAAAATAGTTCTTGAGGAAGAACCTTTCGTACGAATGGATCTTTTACCAGAACACATTGAGAAGTTTGAACCCATTCGGTGTGTATCTGTCCTAGCTCATTTTCTATAGAGACGGGTAATTTAACGAAACCCATGAGAAGTTTCAGGCCGTCATCAACGAATCGATTGAAGTACCTATCCAATGCGTTACGAGTAGGAATAAATTTGAGAAAATAAGTTAAAATTTGAATATCTGTGATATTATTAAAGTTTCCTAACTCGGATAAGGATGACATGAGTAAATCGGGTAACTGCTGAAAGGTTGTATAAGCTAATGGAAGAAGATGGATCATTTCCGATTTCAACCAATCATTCCAAATATTATCCTCATGGATTTTCTCTCGTGTCACAGGTACCTCGAAATCAGCCTGGAGAATGAAACGAAACCCATATGAACGAATTGGTAAATAGGCGAAGACAGGTTGAGGTGAAATGGACTGCATA